TTGGGGCTCCCAAATGATGCCCCTGGCAGCGTTTTGTGACCATGAGGCTCTCAAGAGAGACATGTTGGGGAGGCCAAACGGCAATTTAGCTGAGACGTCCCACCAAAATCGGCGCGAACGGGCTCGTGAGATCAGCCAGGGTGGCTCCCCCTTGGGGCTCCCAAATGATGCCCCTGGCAGCGTTTTGTGATCATGAGAGAGTGTGAGTGTGAGTGAATGTGACTGTGAGTGAGTCTGAGTGAGAGCGAGTCTCATCTTATCTTATCGGGTCCTATCTCATCGAGTCCTTGTCATATATCTGAGCTTACCTTATCATATATTGTGCTATCTTATATTATATTGTAGTAGATTGTCTTGTCTTGTCTTATCTGGTGATTATCATTGGGAGGAGGGAGGCGCGAGCGGGAGGAAGGAGGAGCAGTGGGAGGCGTCAGAGTAATAACAAGAACCCCAATCCTTAGGATATGGTGAAAAAAGCACGGTAATGATAAAGACCGAAAGCGAGAAGGAGACAGACAGGAAGAATATCTAGATTCCCCGTAAACTGATTGCTCGTACGGGTTCTCATTCCTTTTCTAAGGAAGTGGGCTTGGGTGGCGACCTGGCGGCTATGTTGCCGCCGTCGCCGCCACGTCGCCGCCAGTCGTCTGGACTCGCAACAAGAATGCTCGAAAAAACTGGCGCCCGCGCTCTTGTATATTCTTGAGGAAAATATAACGTGTTCAACATTCCTGTAAGATGATACCAAACGGGCCTCAGGCGCGCGTGCCGAAATCGTTCAAACGCGTTTGAGCGAGTTCTGTCGCAAGAACCCGTTGTAAAAAAACGGAACGAGGTGCACACGCGCGCGTCGTCGAGCGCACATGCCGAAATCGTTCAAAAACATTGGTTTCTAACGGAATTCAAAATCGAGAACCCCGGAAACAAACAACAAAAGTGTTCAAAGAAAACCTGCGCTCGCGCTCCTGCGAATCTTTATATATATGTATATATATATACAACAAATGAAATATTACCCCAGTGCGACCCGACCTAGAAGTTGGAGCCCCCTGGAAAGCAGCATTCGTTGCTATGCTATGCTATGCTATGTTATACCATGATATGCTGCGCTATGCTACGCTATGCTACGCTATGCTACCCTATGCTATGTTATGTTAAGATATGTAATGATACGCTGCGCGATGCTATGCTGTACTATGATATGATAAGTTATGATATGTCACGCCGCGATGTGATATGGTAAGCTATGTTATGCTATGATAAGCGGCGCTATGTTATGATATGATATGATATGATATGCTATGTTATGCTGATCTGTGTTATGTTATGGCATGCTATGTTTGGCTATGCTCTGCGATGCTATGATGTGCGAATGCAGCGCTGTGCTATGCTATGATGAGATAAGCTAAGCTAAGCTAAGCTAAGCTAAGCTAAGCTAAGCTAAGCTAAGCTAACCCTCTAGGCAGAGCCCAGGTAGGGAAATACACCCACCTATGCTATGTTACGCTATGACATGTTATGCTGTGCTCTGCTATGCTAAAGCTCGGCGAAGCTAAGATGAAGGTGAGCTAAGCTAAGACAAACCTGAGCTAAGATGAAGCTAGGCTAAGCTAAAATGAAATCAGCGAAGCTAAGAAGAGATAAGCAACGCTAAACTCAGGGAGCGTCACTGGGGGAACCGCGGAGCGGATCCTGGGGGAACCGCCCAGGGCGTGGAACACTGCCCGGCCCCTTTAAGCCCACACAGTAAGAACCCTTCCAGGCAGAGCCTACGTAGGAAAAAACATGTTTATATATATATATGTATATTAACCTCAGCCATACGGACCCTTCGCGCCGCACGTCGAAATCATTCGCACGCCCTTGCGCGCGTGCTGGGGCGGGGGGGGCACATCCGTGTCAAATAACACCACGCGGGCCACTCTCGTGCGTCGGCCGCGCGCACGTCGAACTTCGTCCAAAACCTTCATCACCGACGCGAAGGCGCAATCCTCGTCGTCGGCGTGATCAACATCGGCGCCGTCATTGGCCTTGCCGTCGTCGTTGTCACCATCGCCACCAGCATCGCTGCCATCATCATCGCGTTTACTGTTGTCGACGTTGCCATGATACCGCGCCCGCCCAAGTCGCCGACTCGCACTGAAGTGCCCGCTGGGAAGTGCCCAGCGGTCACCGCCACCGCGGCCGCGTCGATAGCGCCAAACTATCTGACCGCTGCGCGCGCGAGCATGCGCGGGCTAGCGCGGCCGTAGAGATACACCAGCCAGTTCCAAGCATTCATCGCAATCGCGGCCGCATGGGTTCTGCAAACCAAGTTGCGGGTGGGTGGGTGGGCTGATTGCGCGAGCAGTTGACTTTACAACTCCCTGCGGACAACAAATAATTGCACAACGTAGGTTGCACCACATCCACTACACCACATATACTGAACAACATCAGACGTATACATATATAGATACACACAAAACTGCAGTGGCGCTTCGCGCCATCAACCTTGGTCCTTGAGATTTGGTATGCAGGCGGGATAGCAGGAAAGTCAAGCCGACAATTTAGCGATGATTCCTTGTTGCCTTTTCCGGCATCGCCGCTATAACAATGTTCTTCGCTATTATTCCTCCATGCTTCTTTTCCCTGAATTTCGCCATACCCTGCGCATTCTCCCCATCCGCCTCAGCTCTTTGCGCAGGCTCCTCCTTGGAGAGCCTCTGGAGGCCTCACAAAAGTTGTTTCAAGCGTTGTTAAGGCCGGCCTCCTGGGCGTATTCTGGGGGCCTGTGGGGGCTTCCTCGGGCAACCCTGCCTCCAACCGCGGTCTCCCTAAACGACCAAGTCACGATTTAGAATGCTTCGGAGGGTGTTTTGGGGCCATCTTGGGCCGCCATGGGGCTTTCTGAGGGCCATCTTGGACCCGTGTTGTGCCGTTTGGGGGCTCTCTTGGACGGCCTGGAAGCTCTTTCGGATGGTTGTGGGGCGATTTTGGAGCCTCCCAGGCGGCTTCGGAAGCCCAGAAGACCGCCGTCTTGGAGCGTCGGGAAGCCGAAAAGAGGATAACCCCAAAATTCACCAAATCTATGATTTGTGCCTCTTGGGGCCTTCTTGGGAGTGCTCTTGGAGGCCTCTTTGCAGCCGTACTGGAGGCCTCTTGGGCCATCTTGAGGTCACGTCGGTCACTCTTGGAGCGCTCTTGTGCTGTCTTGGGGGTCTCTGGGGCGTCTCCGATGACCCCCCTGATCGCCCTAGGTGTGCTGCGAAGACTTGGCAAAACGCCCTGCGAGGCCCGGAGGGCCGCTTCGAGGCCCGCCTGGAGGATCCCAAAGCCTCAGACCTCGGGAGTCCGTTTTTTGGGGGGTGACGGGTTTTCCCCCCGCCCGGGCTTGTAAAATGTAGGAAGAGGAATTTATAGATACACGGACGTGAACAAAAAATAGCATGCACCTGTTGCTAGAAACATCATCCGTGGGGCCCACGTCGGCTATGTCTACATACATGTAGAGAGAGAGAGAGAGAGAAACATAAATACATATGAAAACATAAAAATAATTAATATTTTTTTAGTGATTAATAAGAATAATGATTATTATTATCATTATTTTTATTAGTATGATTTGTTTTGTTTTTCATATAATTATTTTTTACTATATATATATGTATATATATATATATATATATATATATATATGTATATATTTATATATACATATATATATAACCAACAAACTAAAAGAAAGAAGAAAAAAAAAAAAAAAAAAAAAAAAGAAAAAAAAAAAAAACGATGGGGGAAAGAAAGAGAGAGAGAGAGACCGACAGACAGAGACAGAGACAAAGACAGGCAGACAGAGACAGACAAACGGGCAGGTAGGCAGACAGACAGGAAGCCAAGCAGGCAGATTGACAGAGGGACGGATGAGGGGAATGCGAGGGGAAGTAGGATGGGGAGGGGGAGGGGCAAGGGGAGGGGAAAGGAGAAGGGGAAGGGAAAGGAGCGGAAGCGAGAGCGGGAGGGAAAAGGAGAGAGAGAGAGAGAGAAAGATCTGGGAAGAGCGAGAGGGAGAGGGAGACGGAGACAGAGAGGAAGGAAGAAGCGAGAAGGGAGAGAGGGAAGGGGAAGGGAAGGAGAGAGAAACCGAGAGGGGGAGAGGGAGAGGAGCGGAAAGAGGAAGAGGAGGGAGAGGGGGAGAACAGGAGCAGAAAGGAGCAGGAGCAGGAGCAGGAGCAGGGAGGAGCACCTTCTCCAGCAGGGGCGGGACGTCCAGCTGGCCCTGGTCGTTTCCGCCGACGGCGACCACCGTTCCGTCGCTTCTCAGCAGGGCAGTGTGCTCCGTGCCGCAGCATACCTGCCGAGGCCCCTCGTACACTTCCATGACTTTGTAAATTCAATGAATATATCACTGGAAGACTACATACAAACTGGTGAAATTGGCTATGTAGAAGGTATTTCCAAGACCATAGTGAAATGTATAAATGATATGGAGGTGTATGATAGACCTCTACATTGTACTGACCTGAAACGCGAAACTATCTACATTAAAGACGGTGAAAAATGGGAGAAAGATGAAGACAGGGAAGTGGCCCAGGGACACACACACACACACACAAATAGACACAAATCAAAAGATTCCCCATATGCTCCATATGTTATAATGTCCCGTCTTCCCCTCCACTTCCCAGATCTTCCTATATTTTTCATTGGAATCAACAACTATGTGTGTCTGTGTATAGTTATCCTTCCTGACTAGTGGGATCCCCATCCTCATCTGAATAGTCAGCCGCCCCTTGACCATCATCATCATCAGTATCATCATTATCATCATCATCAGCAGCATCATCAGCAGCAGCAACATCATCAGCATCATCATCAGCATCATGAGCATCATCATCAGCATCATCGTCATGGTCGTCATCATCATCAGCAACATCATCATCATAATCATCATCATCATCATCATCATCATCATCAGCATCATCATCATCATCATCATCATCCTCATCATCATCATCATCATCATCATCATCATCATCATCATCATCAGCATCGACTTCATCATCATCAGAAGCAGCATCATCAGCATCATCATCAGCATCATCAGCATCATCAGCATCCTCATCATGGTCGTCATCATGATCAGCAGCATCAGCATCAGCATCATCAGCAGTACCACCATCGCCATGACTCACCCTGAGAATAGCCGAGGCACTCCTGCGCCCGCCGGCTCTTCAATTCTGCCACGCTCTGCCCCCGCCGGCTCCCTCCCATCGCCCTCCGCCCCCGCGGCAGCGACGAGCTCATCCACAAGCTCGCCCATTCGGCGCTTCGCTTCCCAGCCGCCTCGTCCGCCTCCTGGGCGTCGCCGGCCCCAGCTGCGACTGTGGGCGCCCGCGTCGCAGCTGCATACCCGGAGGCCTCTGCTTCCTGGCGGCTACGAGCTGCTGCTCGGCGCGCCACCTCTTCCGGCACCTCCGCGCTCTCCGCCTGGAGCTGGCCGAAGGTCTCCCAGGACAGGGCCATCACCGATGGACCGCAGCGCCGAGCCTGGCCCTCGACGCACACGTGTGCTACGATGCCAGCCAGAGCGCCAGCCCTGCGCGCCCACGAGCGCCATGCGGACGCCCAGCGGCGAGTTAACCGTGACATCCAGCCTCCACTGGTTTGAGCAGGGACCGACCGCCCCAGCATTCCTAAGGCCTACCGCGAAATGTTCTTCGAACAACCTGATGCTCTAAGAACAGAATCAATATTCTAAGAATCCCACCAGCCCTCTGGGCGCAGGTGGTTTAGAGCGTTTCCTCTTCCACCCCTCCCTCTGCCCCTTCGGGAAGAGGTTTACCCCTCTCCCTCACCCCCTCCCCTGGACCTGGAGGGAGCGTTCCGCGAAGGGATGGAGCGTCCAGGATGGCCCAAGATGGTTCCAAGAGGGCCTCAGGGCCCAAGATGACCTCCAAGATGGCTCAAGATGGCCCAAGATGGCTCAAAATGGTTTCCAAGATGCTCCAAGAGGCCCCAAGATCGCTCCAAGGCGGCTCCAAGTGGCCACGGAAACTGTCCAGGAGGCCGCCGAGAGGCCAAAATCCTTCAAACACCTCGGGAAAATCAATGAGTTGTGCCTTCTCGCCTTTTTGCTTTCGATGGCCCTCCGAAGCTTCAAGATGGCCCCCAGAGCGCCCCAAGAGCGGCCCAAGAGGCGATATTAGGCGCTCCCGAAGGGGGGCCCTAATTGAAGCTCCCCGCTTCTTTGATCGATCTCCTCCCAGATGGCTCCAAGAGCGCCTCAGGCTCCCAAGAGCAACTCAACAAGGCCCCAAGAAGCGTCCAGGAGACCCCAAGAGGCGCCCAAGAGGCACCCAAGAGACTCCCAAGAGAACCCCAAGAGGGCCGAAGAGGCTCCCCGAGGCACCCAAGACACTTCAAGAGGCCCCCAGGGATCGCCAAGAGGCCACCAAGACGCTCCAAGAGGCCCAAGAGTGCCCCAAGGCGGCCCCAAGAGCGCCGAAGAGTGTCCTAAGAGCGTTCCAAGAGAGGGACCCTTCTTGTGTGTGCTGCCCACTTCCCTGATTGAGGCACCTCCTCTGGGCATCGTCTCTGGATGGGCTGGTGGGGTTACTTCTTTGATCGCGAGCGCATCGGAAGTGCCGAACGCCGTCCGAATGTCATAACAAACTAGCTACCGCCTGAATTACGCAAACGGAGGGGAGAAAAAGAGACACCGAGAGAACAGCGGAAGGAGAGACTAACAGGAAGCGGGCCTCACTGCCGCTCAGAACAAGTGCGCCATCGCCTGGGGAGGGAGCCGCCAGCCGGCTTGCATCGCCAAACGGCTGGTGGAATTACTTTTCTTTCTTTTACAGCCGCAGGCGGAAGCGCCAGCGGCGGGAGGTCGCGGGCGGGCTACGGCCGCGACTAAATTGCCGAGCGCGCGCGGGGGCCGCGGATCAGGCGGCGGGGAGGGGGCAGCGCCCAGGGCGGCAGAGCCGACGTGCAGTCCAGGGAGCCTGAGACAGCCCCAGAACGGGCATGCAAGGGTGCATCCAGGGAGCCTGAAGCCAGGCACCGAGGAGACCAAGCGCAGCCAAAATGGCGCGAGAGGCGTTCCGAGAAGTCCAACTGCGACCAAAGGAACGTTCCCGAGGACAACGATCCAGGGAGCCAGACGGGTAAAACAGACTGACTGGGGACGTAAGTCCAGCGGAAAATCCTGACGGCGACTCCGAGTCGCGACGCCAGAACGCGCATCCAGAGGGTGGAGAATGATGACAAATGAACCTTCCACAACTGAGATGCGACAGCCCAGATCCATCAAGTGGAGGGGCGCAGTAGTGCACGATACACAATCGCGTAGCGTGTGCACATCCAAAATGACTCAGCGCTACTCAAACCGAGTCCGGGCTGGTGGAATTACGCGAAGCGTCAAGAATATAGAGCCGATGGATCAAACGAAGACGGTCTCAGCCAGAATTGTTCTAAGAACATTTCGCGAAACCAAAAAATCGTATTGGAGCACCCTTCTGTGGGCCTCCAGGGCAAGCCAGGACGCTTCGCCACTGCTCCACTGGTGCGGCTCACCTGGCCGTGCGGCCAAGGCGTCCATGTGATCGCCTCCTCGCACGGGGCCTCCTGCCGCTCCCTGGCCCCCTGTCGCTCAGGCAGACGCCGCCAGTGGAGCTCTGGCACGTGGCGCTCGTCGTCCACGGAGGAGGCCAAGGCGCCCTCGCGTGGAGATCGCGAAATGGGCACGTGAAAATAAGATCCGCCTTCTGTGGCACGTTGCGCTGGACGCAACCTGCACCCCGGCCACCTGCACTCGGCAGCATCTGCTCGCCGGAGGCGCGTCGCCTGCGAGGCATGTCAGTGACGCTGGACCTGGCGCAGCACCCCGTCTACGCACGTCCAGGTTGTCTGGTACCAGATGCAGAGGATGAGCGGGCGCACAATCCAGCTGCCTGGGACCAGCGTCTGTTACCTAAGATCTGGCCATATACTCCGCAAGCAGCCCCGCTCCGAAGCGGAAAACGCCGTGGTCCTCGACCAAGCCATGCCTCTGCAGGTACTGTTTCGTGCGCCCGGCATGTCCGCGCAATGCGTCGAGCCTCACATTGATTCCCAGCTGCGCCGCGAGCGCGGGCAACCGGGCTTGGGCGCTGCACCACCAGGCCCACGCCGCAGCAGCAGCAGCAGCAGCAGCAGCAGTAGCAGCAGCAGCCTGCCTCTGGCCGAAATCTGCTGCGAATATCAGCCCTCCGTAACCTGTGATCGTCACCCTCAAAATCAGCCTCATCAGGCTCATCATCATCATCACCATCATCATCATCATCATCATCATCATCATCATCATCATCATCATCATCATCATGATCATCCTTCTCGTCAACGTCGTAGTCGACAGCATTGGAATCATCAGCTCCGTCCATCAGAAAACGATGTCCCGAACAATACCATCATCATCAGCAGCACCGCCACCATCATCATCATCGTCATCATCAAAAGAATAATCATCATCATTATCATCATCATGGTCATGATCATCATCATCATCATCATCATCATCATCATCATCATCATCATCATCATCATCGTCATCATCATCATTATGATCATCATCATCATCATCAGCATCATCCGCATCATCAGCATCATCAGCATCACCACCACCACCACCACCAGTTTCATCACCACCATTAACATCAACAGCCGCATCATAGACACCCTCAACATCATCCACTTCTGGATTGCCAGCACCTGTACCATCACAATCAGAATCATCATCATCGTCATCTTCTTCTTTACCATCATCAGCAACAGCATCGTCGTCAGCATCATCCTCAGCCTCATCATCATCATCATCACCATCACCATCACCATCACCATCATCAGTATCATAATCATCATCATCATCAGCAGCATCGCCATCATCATCAACATCATCATCGTCTCATCAGCATCATCAGAATCACCGTCACCGTCATAGTCCTCGTCATCATCACCACCATTACCACCAACAACACCACCATCATCACCACCATCATCAACATCAGCAGCAGCATCATAGACACCCTGCACATCATCTACTTCTGCATCATCATCACCATCACCATCACTATCACAATCATGATCTGCACCGTCATCTTCTTCATCATCAACAGCAACAGCATCATCAGCATCATCGTTATCATCATCATCAGCAGCATCATTAGCAGCATCCTCATACTCATCATCATACTCATCCTCGCCATCATCATCATCCTCATCCTCGCCATCATCATCATCATCAGCAGCAGCAGCAGCAGCATCCTCATCATCAGCACCATCATCGTCAGCATCATCATCATCATCATTATCATCATCATCATCATCATCATCATCATCATCATCATCATCATCATCACTGGCGCACTGGCCTCTAGCCGTAGCCTGTCTCTTGGGCCCCAGACGCCTGCGTGTACGAGAGGCCCTCCTCGAGCTCCGGGATGTCGCACTGCCCAGCAAGGTTCTCCCCGCTCGACACGGCCCAGCCGTCGCTGCAAAGCAGCACCGAATGGTCCGCTCCCGCGGCCGCGCTGGTGTAGGTGATTTTCTCCGGGAGTGGCGGGATCTTGCACGGGTCGCCCGCCAGCACCCCCGCCGCCGCCGCCCTGCCTCACGAGCGGCGAATATATCCACATCCAGGCCGTCGCGGTCCGGATTCCGAGGCGCGATCCGATGGGCACGCGGTCCTGTGGATGCGTTCCGCGCGTGGGGGCATCCTCACAGAGCCGCCCTGTATCCACGGGTTCGCGGCCGAGGAGTCTGGACCGCGAGGCCGTGGATATGGGCACGTCTCCCGCCCACAAGCCGTCGCTGCTGATGACCACGCTGTAGTCAGACCCGGCGAGGATCCGAATGTACTGCGCCCCCGCCGGCAGCGCGGGTATGTCGCACTGGCCCCAGCTGTTGGCTCCGAGAGCGACCACCTGGCCCGTACTGCAGAGCAACAGCGTGAGCTGCTGGCCGGCGGAGACCGCCGTGTACGCTCCTGGGGAGGCACAGAGAGATGTCCTCTGTTAAACACCCCGCCCAGCCTGCTGGGAAGGAAGAGGAGAGGTAGAACGCATGTTCTAATTCGCGGCCATAACGGGCGTTACGGGGCGGGAGGAGGGGGGGGCGGGAGGAGGCATAACGTAGCGCCCCCCCCCCCCTCCCAGACTGCGGTGTCAGACGCACTGCGGCAGCGCCGGGGACGCACCGAAGGGGGGAGCGTCACGTTGCGGGGGGGAAGGGGGAGGGTACGAGGCACAACGCGCGTCATGGCGGCCCAGAGGGTGAAAAAACACTCTCGTACAGTCATCGTGCGACCAGAGTGGCCACCAAACAAGGAACGAAAGGGATTGCTGGCCACGGCGAACCTCGGCCACGAACGGGCCCGCCGATCTGGGTACGAGGAACGGCCCGAACACCAGAGCTTCACGTGAGCCCAAAGTGGTCCCTACTTCACTCCCTTGACTGCAGTAGATGGGGGAGGACTGACTGACTGACTGACTGAGGTACCCCTGGCCCGGCGGAGTCCCCGAAGTGGACCAAGGATACATAAAATCCAAAGGCTCGTGCGTTCCTAATCGGACACGAGCATCGATTGGCGAAAGCATACCTCCAGCCAAGGCCCAGAGGTTCTGAGGGTCACGGGAAGGAGGCGGAGGAGGTGAAAGGAGGGAGAAAGAGAGCGGGAGGAGGAGGCAACGGAAGCGAATTCGGAGGAAGCGGCAAACGAAGAAAGCAAGGAGGCGGAAGATGTAAGGGGAGGAGGAGCAGGGAAAAGATGAGAAACAGGGAGGTATGACGAGCAAAAATAACGCATGATATTGGACGAAGGGAAAAAGAGGGAGGAGGAGGCTTGGAACTTTATAAGGCTGCAAGAATCAGAACCCTGCGGCCCTGCAACATGAAGTGGCAAAACTGACATGGTGAGGAACATGTCGTCTTCACAATGTATCAACGATCGGACTGACATGCCATGGATTAACGTGTAAAACAAAAAGCATCGAAAGTGTTAGAGACTCGCCCTGTGTCCATGCAGCTCGTAGAAACTTTACGCAGAACGTGCGCGCCGCCGAATCGAGAACACAATCTTGAAAACAACGCCGCTCAATCCGTGTAGCTGGTGGAAACGTGAGTCGAGGGGCTAAACTACGAAGCCACATCAAGCCAAGGACTAAGCCGAATTAGGCCTGCACGGCGTCAAGGAAGGAGTTAACAGGGCCGACTTCTGACTTTTACCTTACAGGAGGGGCACGCTTCCCCAGCACGGAGCCCAAACGACGCAAATCTAGGCACCAGCACCGCCGCTTCTGAACGGCCCCCACCAGCCCCCTGGAGGGGGGCCCAACTCACGGGCGGCGCACCCATCCATATCCGCGCCCTCGTGGTCTGGACTCCGGGGCACTGTCCCGCGGATACGCGGTCGCACGGATATGTCCCGCGGCGGACATCCACGAAAAAACGCACCGCATCCGCGGGGTCGCAGCCCAGGGGCCCGGCCCGCGAGGCCACGGATACGGATATGTTTCTCGACGAAGTGGCGCTCGACGAAGTGGCGCTCGCTCATGCTTAGCCCCCGCTAGCCCCATGCATGCACGCCTTTAAACCTGCATGTCTGCACAGGTTTTCGGCCCACCCCGCGGGAAAAACATGTCTCTCGCCCGCGATCCACGAGGGCGGCAGGAGAGCCCACACGCAGCGGGCAGGCGTGAAGACCACCACCGTGCCCGGCCCAGGGCCACCCAGGGCCCTGGACACGGTGCACATGCCCTCATGCCCAGGGCCAGGAGATGTGCACAGCTGAGACGAAGCTTCCTCCTCCTCCTCCTCCTGCTCCTGCTCCTCGTCCTCGCATTATTCTTATCACTACGATTACTATTGTTTCCTAGTATTGTTATTACTTATTAAGACAGTGTCTGTAGTATTATGTGTAGGACGGTTACTCATATTATTACGACTACGGGTATTACGAATATTACTCGTGTTACTCGTACTAGTCGTAGTATTATGATTCTCTTTAACCGACTTTCTGTTAGGAACCCTACTAATCCCACCAGCCCTCTGGGCGTAGGTGGTCTAGAACAGATCCTCTTCCACCCCTCCCTCTTCCCCCTTGGGGAGGGGTTTACCCCTCCCCCTACCCCCTCCCCTGGACCTGGACGGGGCGGGCCGCGAGGTGTCGGACGGCTCTTTGGGCCCCAAGATAGGAAGCCAAAATCATCGGTTTTACTATGGTTTTGGTCGATTTGGGAGGCTCCTGAGGGGGGAGGCTAATTGAACCCCCCCTTTTGTTTGATCGATCACCTCCAAGATGGCCCCAAGAGCGCTCCCAAGGCTCCCAAGAGCGCCCCAAGAGGGCCTCAAGAGGCGCCCAGGAGGCCCCAAGAGGCGACCAGGAGGCCCCAAGAGGCCTCCAAGAGTCCCCCAAAATACCCCCAAGAGGCCCCCAAGAGGCCCCAAGAGGCTCCCACGAGGCACCCAAGACGGTCCAAGAAGCTCCCGGGACCGCCAAGAGGCCCCCAAGACGCCCCAAGAGACCTCAAAGAGTACCCCAAGAGAAATCCCAAGAGACTCCGCGAGGCATTCAAGAGGCCTTTGACTCTTCTGATCGCCCTTATCCTCCTCCTCCTCCCCCTCATCATCACCATCACCATCACCATCACCATCACCATCACCATCACCATCATCATCATCATCATCATCATCATCATCATCATCATCATCATCAATATCATCATCATCACCTTCACCATCACCATCACCATCACCATCACCATCGTCAAGACCAACACCATCATCGTCATCATCAACATCATCAATATCAACATCAACATCATCATCATCCGCCTATTCCTCCTCCTCCTCATTCCTCCCTCCCCACCCTCATCATCCTCCTCATCTTCCGCCTCCGAGACGTCCTCCATCCCCCCCCCTTGGGGTACGACGGCCTCCCCAGCCCCTTGTTCCTCTGTATGCTGCCCCGCTTCCATGATCACCTCTACTCGCCTGGGCGTCGTTTCTGGATGGGCTGGCGAGGATACGCGAAGCGTCAAGAATTGGTCCCGTCCCCCCCTAGTGCCTATGCCCCCTCCCCCCCTCCTAAATTCTATGGTTATGCTTCTGCCTATGCCTATGCCTCCCCCTAACTCCTATGCCTACGCCCATGCCTACGCCTATGCCTATGCCTATGCCTGTGCCTGTGCACCACTTCTCAGCACTCCTAGCACCCCCCCCCTTCTCCAATGCCCCTCCCTTGTCCAATGGCACTTGCTTGCTTGCTCTTGCGTGCTTGCTCTCGCTTGCTTGCTCTTGCTTGCCCTTGCTTGCTTGCACTTGATCGCTGGCCTTTGCTTGCTTGTTGTTGCTCGTCTGCGCTTGTTTGCTTTCGCTTGCTTGTTTGCGCTTGCTTGATGTTTCTCCTCCTGTCCTCCTCCCGTACTGCTCCCGTCTTCCTTTCGTCCTCCTCACATCCTCCTCTCGTCCTTCTCTTGTCGTTCTATCTATTTGGAGTCAAGGCTGGCTGATATTTCTTATGACTACTAGTCATGCTTATATTGGTAGCATTACAAGGATTATCCGCATTAGTATTATTAGCACTACCTGTACGAAGATGATTCTTAATGTTAATCATATTACTAGTAGCAGTATCATGATTCGTACTAGTATTGGTACTGGTGTAGTTACTAGCGTTATTGAAGAGTTGTGTTGTTATTCGAACGGTCAGTCATTGTCCCTGGGTGCGTGGCTGAAATGAGAATCCGTGGTGAAGATTATGCTTGTTGCGTTAATGTTGTTGTTGTTGTAATTAATGTTTGTTGTTGTCGTCGTCCCCCTCGCGACCCACCCGCGACCCATCCCGCGACCCACCCCGCGACCCACCACGCGACCCAACCCGCGGCCCACCCGCACTCCACCCCGCGACCTACCCGCGACCCACCCGCGACCCAACCGCGATTCACTTGCGACCCTCCTGCGACCCACCCCGCGACTCACCCGCGACCGATCCACATTGGTTTGAAGAAAAAATCGGAGCCTGCGGCGCGCTCGTCGTATCATCTGTGAATTTTTTGCGCCTGCGGCGTGCTAATCCAAAGTCTCGCAAACTGCCGACGTCCCCACCGCCCACTCACTCTCATCTGCATCTGCGGGGTGCCACGAATTATCATCGGAACACGTATGATATCCGTCATAGTGATCACGATTCACAATTTTGCTGGTATCATCATAGGTATTACTCCGACTAGTATGATTAATACTACTGTGATGCGTCTTGTTAGTATTAGGTATGATTACTCGTAGCATCAGCATTATTATTAGTATTACGATTAATCTTAATACTCGTAGAAATGTCATATGTTTGATACTCTGGATTACCAGTATTCATATTGTTAGTATGTACATGACAATGTTTCTGCTTCTGTATGGTTAGGATCAGTGCAAATGTTAGTAGCATGTCTGCCTCATTCTTAGTATGTTAAAGCATGTTGCTTGTAAGTATTATGATTATGATTCATTTTCGTTTTCCTCTCCTCTTCCTCTACCTCTTCCTCCTCCGCCTCAGCCTCCGCCTCTGCCTCCTTCCTCCGCCTCCGCCTCCGCCTCCGCCTCCTCCTCCTCCTCCAAGACGAAGCCAGGACGAGGATCACATCAGGTGAGGATGCATCGAGAATCTCTGAGATCTGGCAGCTCTGGGGGATGCGTCGTGCGCCGCGGCCCTCTCAGAGCGTTCTGGAACGCTCTGGCCGTGTGCTGGAACACTCCGGAACGGACTCATCCTCGTCCCAGCCCCGCCCGCACAGCCCCTGGGGCCATGGGTGGCCCTGGCTGAGCATGGCGGCGGTGGTCTTCACGTGTGCCCGCTGCGCTTGCCGTCGCTCGGACGTCCATTCCCCGCACGGTGTGGTTTCGGGCATGCGTTTCCCCCAAACAGCTTGCAAAACGGAGCGCTGCTGTGATGCAAGCTAGCTCTGGCCGAGGGAAGGCATGACAAAGACATCC